AAAAAAAAAAAAAAAAAAAAAAAAAAAAAAAAATATAGTAATAACAATAAATAAAAAAGAAATACAAGATGACTAAAGGTTTTATCCAGTAGAAAATGTTAAAGCGGTTGTTTTTAAAGGTAACTTTCTTAGTTTCCTACTATTTTATTCTTACAGAAGGAAAACAATAGCAGATTCTTAATAAGGCTGCATGCTATACAAGCTTGGGGCAAATAGTGTTTTTCACTGCAATTCCAATGTTTGCAGTATTAGAATATACTACACATGTCTAAGGTAACAGAATCTTTTAGGAATAAATTTTTAAAGATCCACTGCATATCACAGAAAATTTATCTTACAAGATCTTACAAGAAATTAGGCTTTAACAAAGAAATTGATATCCCAGACTTTTTTTTTGGGGGGGGTATGTTAAAAGCAGTTTCTTTTGGTATAATCTATAAATAAAAGGAAGTATCAGCAACCCCCAAAGAAAACCGGTAAGAGAAATACTGTGTATTAGTAGAAAAATGCAGCTTATATTTCTAAGAATTATTGTAGTCTGTCCTTGAAAGAAATCTGAAGATTTTGCTTTTAAAACAAGCTAAACAAACGTTAAGTATTTTTCTGAAACTTCCTTAATAAACAATTTAAAGAAAGCTAGCTATGATTTGCCACTAGAATTTTATAGGTTTACACTGGAGACAGACCATCAGATTTAGAATTGGTTTTTTCAGTTAATGCTTTGTACCTAGCACTTCAAACTTCCAGAATGACATATGATACAAAAGGATTTCAAATAAGTGTACTGGAATTCATGTATGTAAATAAGCACATCTTCAAACCTTGAAAAAAATTCAGCACCACTCTGATTGTCTTAAACCATTATTCACAGATCCTTCTCAAAAGCAATAATGTTAGTAAATCTGTTTCTCCTGATTTCTTTTGTTTTAGAAATAGCTTAGAAAATACAGTAGTTAAATCCAAAGATTAAGATGGGTAAAAAGCTGGTTAATTTTTAGCTAAAGCATTTGCTCTAAACATGAGATTTATTTAGAAGATCTAAAAACTGATTATTATATAGTCACTTTATCCATGTTATTTTCAATTGTGTTAACAGTTTGTAAATTACCTGGATTTGAAACATTAAATGATTCTATGAAGACAAGAGGCATGTCTTATTACTAGCTTTTTGACTTTGTTCAGTTTCTTCTCTATGCTTTTTTCCTTTCATTTGTAATATAGACATAGTAACAATTATGTAAAGTTTATTGAAACTAGATAATATAAATGTATAGGGCTTGACACATAGTAATTACAATACAACTAGATCTTCTGTCTACTGACTATCTAGAGCCTAACACAGTATTTGTGGAATGGTTAGGTTCTTAGGCTAGCATACAAGTTTACATTTAATCCTTCAATAAACAGTTCTGACTTCTGTATAATACTATTATGGTAAAGAAACAATCCAAATCTGATCTTAACAACCAAAAGTCATTCTTCTAATTTACGGAAACCAAGACACAGCCTGAGTATGTTCATACTTATGACATACTGATGCTGAGAAAATTATTGAAGATGTCACTATGGATTTTTGACAATTCCGAATAATATTTTTTTGCTGTATGTTTTTCCTAAACTTATCCTTAGACACTGGTTTGTAGACTCTGCTTATATTTGTTATGTCTCAAGAAAAGAGACCCTAGAAACAAGGAACTTTTAAATTCAAGCAGGCTAAAAGATAAGGCACTATCTTAACAATGAGGTAAAATGGTATGTGTAAAATTGTAAGCTGTGCTAGAGATTCTCAAGCATCAAGGGGCTATGGCAGGAGGTAGTTTTACTTTTTGAAAACCTCATTATGGCCAGATCCAGTGGCATATACCTGTAGGCAGGAGGACTGTCAAGTTTGAGGCCAAATTGGGCTACATAGTGAGACTATCTCAAAAACATAGTGGGGGTGGGGAGATATAACTCAATAGTAGAATGCTTACCTAGCATGTGAGAGGCCCTTGGTTCAATGGATCCCCAGGACTTCAATAACACAAACCCTATTATGTAGAACTGTATAGGGATGACAGTAAAACTGTTAATACAGAGAACACTGTTTCTTGTTACAAGACTGGTGCATGAGTGACTAGCCTATTCCTACTGCCATTATCTATGTTCTTAACCAGGGTTTCTTTTTTGGGTTCCATTACAAAATGAATTTCAGATTTTTCCCATTAGGCTCACTTCTCAAGAATTTGAAGGACACAAATAGTATAAATACCAGTATTAACGGTTTGACATTTTACTGGTGGCAAGAAGCAAGGCAGAATAAGAAACTGGTCTCTTCTTCCTTTGTAGATGGGATACCCAACTACCCTCCCACCTACACCCATCCTGTGTCATCCTGAGTGATGAGACTTAAAATTCCACTGCCATTTATAGCTTTAAAAATTTCAAATTATAAAGATTCTAAAAAGCATTATAATCCTATAGCTTGTACTTTTTATCAATAGCTTCCAGAGAAATTACTATTTTCAGTAATTTTGAGATTTTAAAAATCCAAGTCCTTCCTTCTTTAGCTTTAGCTGTTGACATTTATTCTGAGTAAAATCAAGCTCTGGTTGGCCTAGCCTTTTATTCAGATCTTGAGAAAGAAGGCAGTAAGGGTGGCAGGTGCTAAGGAAGAAAAGTACAAATGCAGGCCAGCCGTAGGCTATTGAAAAACATGCCTAGCAACTTTCTAGCATAACATTTGCAATACTAGGACAGTTTCCTAATTTTCTTTCTCCAGAGGAATAACAAGCTTTACAGTGTGCTTCTCCACCACTGCTATTTTTGTTAAAAGGATTAGTTTCTATTCTCATCTGCTCTTGCCTAGAATACAGACTCTGAGGGCCTTACCTGTGATTAAGGTAAAATTTCTTATGGCCACAATGTAACAATAAGTAAAAAATGGATAAATAAGCAAAACAGGTTCCTAATCAACTTTCCTGGTCTTATTGGAAGGTATTTGGTAAGCTAGGTAAAAACCAATGAGTGTTCACAGACCAATTTTAAATTAGGCTTTTTGGAGGCAAATTAATAGATACGATCAACCATTTTAAAATAAAACTCTGCCCTCCAAAATTAATAATTAAACAAATTAATTATATAAAATAGTACAAGAGACATTCAAATATACTCTTTCAAAACCTGAGGGCTTTTAATTTAAAAGAAGAGTAATTTTGGATGAAATGATCCAAGCATTTAATGTGCAAATTTAACTTTCTGCCAAACAGCAAGATAGGATGGGCCAGGAATTTGCATATACCACAATACAATGAAGCAACAATGTTTTCAGAGAATTACCACACTTGATCTTAGCCAAATGGTCCACAAGCGATCAGAGAATTACCATTAGGTAAAGAAATGTAAATTGTCACATTAAGAGATATACTGTACATAAACATACCCCATGGAAAGCCTAAAACTCAACTTGTGACAAAGGGACCTACAACTGAAATAAAATTTGAGCTTTCTGTAATCTCTACAAATTATTTTAGCAGATATTTCTGCATCAGACTGTTATGATTAAAATACACTATTAGCAATGCTTAGTAGAATGGCACAAATTTCCCTGGTGTATTAGTTTTTTGGCTTACTTCCTTTTTCTTTTTCAAATTCAGCTATCTGATTAAATATATTGAGTAAATTTTGAGGTAAATTTTTTCTAATTTTGCTTTCTGATTGCTCTTTGCTAGCTAATCCATCTGGAACTTGTGTTTTATTATATTCCCTAGAACTGTCCTCTTTTTCATAATCTCCTTGATTGATATCTAATCGGCACCTTTGCTCATGTCTGCCAAAATCACGTGATCCAGAATAAGTGTATTTCCTGTGTTTTTCAACTGACTTCCAGGAGTAGTCTGAACTGGCTGGTGAAGTGGAGTATCTCATGGAACCTGGCTCCCACCTTCTATGATGCTCTTTTCTTCCCTCTGTGTCTTTTTCAATTCTCCTATAACCATACATTTTGTCCTCTGAATTCCTACAGAAGGAATCTGAGGAATTTCTTCTACTGGAAAAATGTCTTTCTGATTTGTATGGCTTTTCTATTTTGCTACCACCTGCCTGGGGTTTATAGCTATTATAAAAATCTCTTGGATCTTCAGACCTACCTCCAAAATCATCCGGTATTTCAACTGAAGATGAAGAGAGAGGGCATCTATCTTTCTCTTTTACCTGTGTCTTTGGATATTGTAACTTATCCTGCTTTTCCAGTAGTTTTTCCACTTCTTGTTTTTGATTAAGAAAAGATGCTGAAGTATTAGCTGGAACTGGGTAGGACTCATCTTTCCTATTCTGATCTACCTGACTTGAGGATGCCCTAGACGCATGCCTTTTGGAACTGCGAGAAGACTCTGAACGGGTCCTCTTATGTTTCTTATGCCTTCTGTGATCAGAAGAGGAAGAGGATGAGGAAGAAGAAACAGATTCATCATCAGATGAAACACTTGAAGAGGAAGATGATTTTCTTTTCTTCTTCTTTAACCTAAAAAATATAGTTAACTCATCAGGTAGGTGAAATACAAAAATGTTACTAACATCCATAATGATTTGGATCCTATTTTGTTTTCCTTAAAAGAATTCCTACAAGCAGCAGCTCACAAATAATATATAAATAAAAAATGATATAATGATCCCAGTTACTACAAAACCAAATTTTACCATCAAGCATGACTTTTGGAAAAAATACTTCTGCCCAAGGTGTCACCATGAGCAAATTCATCATTTCTGAAAGACACAGCGACATTTCTAGTATTACACACTTAAGACTAAGCCCTAAGGGAAAAAATTGTAGTTTTATATCCGGATGTTTAATTGTACCTTAGACCTCTATGCACTAGATATTCATAGCATCCCACCAATTATGACAACCAGAAATATATCCAGACACTGCCAAATGTTATTTAGGGAACAAACCACCCCTGGTTGAGAAACTCTACTTCTAAAATATTTCTAATATACATAATATTTCTAAACTAACATAACTTATACTGCATTTTAATTCTAAGATTCTAATTTTTTTTTTCAGAATTCTAGTCTTACATTCCACTTTGCTTAATTTTTTTTATAGAAAACCATATGGAACACATGCCTGCTGAGAATTCTTAAAAGATATGGTTTCAAACCTTTTTTTTTTTTTTTTTACTTACTTTATTTCCATATTACTCTTTGGGTTCAAGTTAGTAGTTGCTTATGTTGAAAATACTGAATATTACAGTTTACCTTTTCTCCTCTTTTAAGAGCTTACGCAACTTTTCTGCACTTGTTTCTATTTTCTTTGTTTTCTGCTTTTCTTCCTTTTCAGCTTGTTTTTCTCTTAATTCCAAAGATTTCTTTTAGAACCCAGGTATCAGAAAAACCACACGTTAAAAAAAGAATACACAACACCCAGTATTTAAGAGACCACCCCAAATCAGAAGCCCAATTTAGTATGACCAAATCACCATAAAGCCAGCATTAAAGACGTATTTTGTAACATAAGAAAATTAATTATACAGATGTTTGGCATTAATCATTAGAATGGCCAGGACAGTATTAAGGACCATATTGCAGTTGGTATCCATGAAAAGAGGGGAAGCCATTGCAGTAGTACCAATGACCCAGGATGCAAAAAAAGATAAAAAATAAAACATGGAATATTTTTAAAAATTGAAAAATTTAAAAAGGACATAAAGTTTACAAATGAAATTCAAATAAAGACATTCCATTGAGATAAATTGGGGAAGGTTGGGAACACCATGTTCAAATACAAACCATTTTAAAAATAGCACAGCCCAGTTGGATGCATGATTACATAAGAAATCATTTTCCAGTTTGTGGATGGGGATGAGCAGCACCAGATGTCACAGACACAGCAGCAATGGTCCAATTCAGAAGAAAATGCATGAGAAAACATCATCATCAGTATTACAGGAAAAGGCATATTAAATGTCTTAAAAAGGTTTTCATTATTAGCTCAATTATAGTAGCAACAGTGATAATTTACAATGATAGTACTAGGTAAGCTCACTACAAAGTACAGTTCTCAAAACCACATATTTCATTTAGGAATTTTCCTACAGTTATTTTTGAGTACAAACAAGTAAAAAAGAAGAAGCACTATGAAATAATGTTAAACCCAATTCAGAAAACTATAAAAAGAAACTTTCATAATGCTTCACTTAGAAAATCTAGACTATTTTTCCCTAGAAGATTTTATTAATTTTAAATATCACAATTTCTAAGAGGAAATAAAGAATCACCTGCATATATTTATGAAGTTTCTGCAAGGCATTCTCCGCATCTTTAAAAGTCTCATCCAAAGCCAAAGCTTTCTTATAGTAGCTTTCAGCATTTAAAAACTTTTCTTCTTCTTCTAACCTGAGTTTGAAAGGAAGGTTTAGCACTTTTGTAAAAACAAAAAAAGTATCCAAATATGTATGTAGTATGTTCCAGTATGTCCCCCCAAAAACAAATTACTTTCCAAAATAATCATATGCTTCTTTCTGTAATTTATTTGGTAAACAGATCACATACAATAAATGCAAATGCATTACTATTCACTAGATAGTGCTGGCACACTTCTGTAGAAATATCAGAAAACACACAATAAACTGGTACCTGCAAATTTAGTACAATCTTGAGTATTAGCAAAGAACTATATAGGCTAGTATTTCCTAGTAATTTTTTCTTTCTACACATAGTATATATTTTTTAAAAAATCCACTGTTAGAGTTCTTGGGAAATAAGCAGACACATATTCCATAACCAATTAGATTTAAAGCTCATAAATATATGCTGTAAAAAAAAAAAATTTGTAAAGCATAGAAGTGAAAGGACTCCACAAAATGCTTTTAGTTACATAAAGAAAAGGTAATGACACAAGTGGGATTAGTTTTGTGTTGGTAGACTGGGTGTAGAAAGATGAGAAAAGTCAAACCACTAATACTTCTGGCTTGGATAATTTGTTGATACTCCCTCAGATAATCATCAGTGTGCAGGTAATAAAACAATTATCTCTCAGTAGGCACTAGCAATCATCTACTGAAAAAGTGAACCACTGGTTCATTCACTATTGAGAAACTCATATAAATTGAAAACAAGTACACAAAATTTCATTAATTTGGAATCTGTAATGATTCACACTAGAATTATCATCCAAACAGAAATTAGTCAAATTCATGAAACAGAAAAGAGATGATCTATTAAAAAATTAATAATAGAATCATACTATTAATAATATTAATCATGAACTGGGATTTTAATTATTAAATTGGGCGGTTACCAAATTATGCTTAAAGTATTATATTTCTTTGAAATAATCTATAGATGGCACTGGTCTATTAGTTACTAAATATTTTTAATACAAGTACCATGCCAAGCATTATTTCAGTAATTATTTTTCAGTGATTTGTCCTATTACATAATCTGAATTTGTGGGTTTTATTGGATAGTCATAAATTGAATACTACACCAAAATCTTATTCACAATTAACTACAGAACATTCAACTCCTACTTCCGACACTATACTTCTAGAACAATGAAATGAATTTTAGAAGTAGAATGAAATGAATTAGAAGTTTAACTTCCTGTACTAAAAAAAAGACCAATTTCTTGTATTTTCCATTTATAATTTTATGTAGTGAGAATAGATATTTCGAGCAATGAACTTGGGACATTCTATCCCAAGTTATTAAAAAAAGAAAACAAAACAGTGATATGACAGGAAAGTGATTGGAAAAATTTAAAAGGATTATATTTTAAATTTCCAATCAAAACTGAAAAGTATTGTGAACTGAGGGAGCCACAGATGCTATTTCCTTAAAGTTTGAGCTTTCACAGCAAATGGCTGAATATGAGATTAACAAAATCTGACACTTACTGCCCTCCTCTTTCTACAAGTGTCTGGCAGAGGTATTTTCTTGCATTCCTGTGAGTTGGACAGTTTTCTAATGCAAGTTCAAAATCTTCTATTGCTTTGTTCAGACTTCCTTTGGTTGCATACCTAGAGACATTAAATAAAATTAGAAAAATTTAATCCTGTGAGCTATTTATAAATCTTTCACATTTACTCTGAAAACATTCTTTGCAATCTGTAATTCACTTACAATGCTCCACGAGCTACCAAAGCTTCCACATTTTGTTTGTCTATTTCCAGAGCTTTATTGTATTCATTCATAGCATCCACATGACGTCCAACCTTAAAATAATCAACTCCAATCTTCACACTAAAAAAAAGAATTTATAAAGCATTGTAAACATTAGTATGAATACATTTTAAAAGCAAATCTCTTCACTTAGTTTTCAAAAATACTTTCAATATACCTAAGCAGCACTCTGCTTTTGAATATTTTCATAACAAATATTTATAGAATCCAGATATCAATGATTCTTTTCGAAAAACAAAACAAAACAAAAAAACCGCTGAATAAAATTTAGGTCTATTACATTTACAACATAAGACCAAAGTAATACTACCTAGAATGTCAAAAGAACTTTCTAAATGATGCATGGAAATGCTTGGCTTATCCTAACATTTTAAACTGCATAAAAAATTTTTTAAAACAATCTTCATACCATTTTAAAGCCCAAGATGCAGACTGTTTCTTTCTTAATGCAGATGCAAAATCATCTTCAGAGAAATTTTTGCTATTAAAGAAAATAAAAGGTCAATAAATACTTCTTAAATAGCTATATTAAACTGCCTCACAGATAGGCCCTCAACCCTGAGTAAATCCATAATTTAGTAAGAAATCATAACTCATTTATAGAGGAAAAAATTCCTAAACTGTCAAGAGTATTATTAACAAAATATGTTTCTTAAACATAAAACATGTGATATGAGAGTTAGGTCCAGGGATGGAATCATCCAGTTTATTCAACCTTGAGCAGTCTTGCTGTTAAGCTTAGAATGAACAAGTATGTTCTTCAGCTATGCATTTCTTAGCTTAGCATCACTCCCCTACCACCTAAGAGAGAAATACTGATGTACTATACCTTTGTAGGCCTCTCATTAAAGATGGTGGATTAGATTCATCTATTCCTAGCTTTTCTAGGAGGAGTTCAACTACTCCTGGATTAACAAATCCCAAAGAACTCTGCATGGTATTTTCATAGGATTCCAAAGAATTACTATTTAGTTCAACACTCCTCCTTAAAAAAAAATACACACACACAAATATAAAACTGAGTAAAATGATTAGTCCATACCATTTCTATTAAAGAAAAAGCATTATTCATATGAGGTTTATATACTAGCATCATTTTTGTACATGTATTTATTACATTATCACGATAGGGTTTTTCTACCAAGTCTGAAGTAATTTAAGGTGTATAAAAATAAAATGAACAGATTGTACAGTAAGAGAAATCAAAATTTCATGTTGTGAGAAGTGTGACAAAATATGCTCTTTTAATCCAAGAAACTTGTAATGAACTGCTGCTGAAATAGTTTGGATAAATACCTGTAGTAAAAAGGAAGCTCTTCAGAAGTAATCACACCTAGTTTAATATTAGACAGGTGTGGTGGAAGAGATGAGCTATACAGAGATACTGCAAGCTTTTCATGGTACCTGTCGATATCCTTGATTCCAGCTTAAAAAAAAGAAAAAAAGAAAAAAGAACTAAGCTAAAAAGAAAATGTAAACTAAAATAAAAATATATAAAACTCACCAAACATAAACCCCTCATTAGGCTACATTATCAAAGTTAGTGCTGCGATTACAAGTGTGCACCACAACACCTGGGTTCTGTAAAAAAAATTTTAATTGTGACTTTTCATTAGTAGAATGAAACTGAGCACCTCGAATGATGTCACCAGTTTGGTAATACGATAAAGGATCTCCGTGGTTACTATGCGAAGGCACATCTCTTAATGGGCAAAGAGCCTGCAATGAAAACACCAGACATTTCACTTTTTAGTGAGAACAGTTATCTTCTTTTAGTTGTGCAGTATGAACAGCTAATAATTGACATGAATATTAAGAAACAACAAAAACCCTAAAGTTTACTGTTTTTTTAAATTGACACATAATTTATAATTTATTGGGCAGTCTGTTAATTCAATACATTTATGCAAAGTACAATTACACAGTAGAATAATTAGCATTTCTATATTCTTATTTCTTTGTACTTGAAGCCTTAGAACTCCTCTCTGCTAGTTCTTCATAAAATATACTTTAAGTTGTTATAAACTATCATTAGTTACTGTGCTATATATACAGAAAACTAAATCTTATTCCTATTTAATTGTATTTCAGTATCCATTATTCAATTTCCTTTATCCCACAATCCTCAGCCTTCGCTAATTACTACTCTACTTTCCTTGGGAGCAACTTTTGTTTCCCTAAATGAATGAGAGAATATATGGTATACGTTTTAATGTGTCTCACTCATTTTACTAAACACAATGTCCTCTAGTTCCAGCCATTTTTCCACAAATGACAGTATTCCATTCTTTTTTTTATGGCTGAATAATATTTTATCTGTTCATCCGTCAACACGTTGGTTCAGCTAAATTTAAATATGGGTTTTAGGTACAAGTTTTTTTTGTATACAAACGTGGTAAAACTTGTTTTCTGGCTCAGCTTGAACTTTCCACTAGTTTTAGGAACCAAATACAGATTATAAAACAAAAAGATACTTTGCACTTGAAAAAATATAATTTTGTCCAGAAGGTATAAGGAGTCCAATAAAAATGAAATGTGACTTCTCCAAAGTTGTTTTTCTTCCTTTTCTTCTACCTTCTGGACAGTCAGAAAATATTAAACCTGTTGAGGTAACATGTCATTTCAAATTTTGGACTATTCATGTGGGCAAAATGTTATTATAATAGTCAAACCTCTTGCATTTAATTACTGCAAATATATAAATGAACTCAAATATTCAAATGAACATTTCTGAATTGTCTATACCCAAGTATCTAGTGGAAATATTAAGAATATGTCCCACTGGAATAGAACTCCAGAATAGCAATCAATCTTGCCATGTCTGCTGATCTCTGCATACATAAAAGGAAACTGCCCCTGCAGAGTCCACAAAAACACCAATGACAAAAATGAAGGAAGAAATTTCTTGTTTTCGCCAATTAATACTTATTTTTAATTCCCCAAAATACTGCAGGAGTTATACTGAAACGAAACTTGGGAAAACAAGTAATTTTTGCAGTGAGGTAACTACCAAAACCAGAAATAATCCATAAGTGAAAAGCAGTAACTTACTGTGATTTCTAGGTGGGATATATCTCTCATGATGCCACTTCCTAAACAGATTAACACCATGAAAAAACCAAATTCCCGAATGGAGCTAATTCTTCCAATTACTATATCACCACGCTCAATATCTCGGAAAAACAGCTCTCTCCGATCCACACTAGGTACCTCCATAAACTGCTCTAAAGGGGGCATGACTGCAAAATGCTCTGCAAAAACAAACAAACAAACAAGCAAACAAAAAAAACCCACGAACGACAGTTTTGATTTCCATTTCATCCGAAATACTGTTAAACCAACCATCCGATCCTGAAGATTTCAAGATTAAACTCACCTTCACTGTCTTCATGAACTTCGGAAATTGCAGGCGCATCTGATTTCCAGGAAAGTGCAAAGAGCAAATCCGCTTTTTTGGAGATAAATTTTTGTAGTTCCACGTTGTCAAATCTCTTCTCTTTTCTTAAAAAGAAACAAAACTTATGAATACTGGCTTATCTGTAAACTTACCGATATTCCAACTTCGGCTTATGGCTCTCATTGCCCAATCCACGTAGAACTCCAGGCCTCACATTTTAGGATTTAACCGGGAATTCGCTTATTCCTAAACCTGGATGGAGGTGGAGGGCGGGGAAAATTCACACGCTAAGCCTCGAGCTACGGAGATGCTACTGAAAGCTCAGGGGCCTTTAGCTAAGGAATCCGCGCCTGGCTGAGCAGCGCCAGCGAGTTAAGCCCGCCGTCCGCAGGGCACACCTAACCTGGGTCGCCGATCCTCCTCCACTCAGCCCTCAGCACCAGCCAGGCGATCCTCATTCCGCCCGGTTAGGCAGCTTCTAGACGCAACCGTGGGCAGCGGCTGAAGGCCCGGCCTGGGTCCCCTTCCCCGTCTCGAAGCGGCGCAGCCCGTCCTATTACCTGCCCTGTAAATGCTGCTGGGTCGGCGGACCCCGAGCAGGCTCCGCCGCCGTCCCCAGGAGGCTCCGGAAGTGCGGATTGTCCTGCTGTTCACTCCGGAGTAGGGAGAGCAAAGACGTCCCATGGCAATTCAGGGACTGACGCAGAAGGTCCCGGTCCATGACTACAGACTGCTGGCCTCAGGGCAGGTGGGCTGCTAGCCCCCAGTTGCGTGCCCTCTACTTGAGCCGGGTGATGTGTGCGGTAGCAGGAGATACACAACACATTCTTCAGCAAGGGTGCCTCTCCCGGAAGTGTTCCGGAGCCGCCCCCAGGGGTAGAGGGGCGGAGCCAACCTCGATCTCGCGGAACTGAGCGAGACTACGGAAGCCGGAATGAGTGGGCTGTGGGGTTTGAGTGAGTGATGTATGTGGGAAACTTGTCTTAAAAATTTTCTTGATGTTATTAAGTCAAAATATCCCGAGTTGTACTGTAGGTTGACTGATGTAGTCCCCTATTTACAGAGGCACTTCTAAATGCCAGGACTAGGGTAAGAGCTCCAGACTAATAGCACAGGATTCTTCCCTCGAAGTACGGCTGTGTTAAAATGAGTACCTACGTTTTAGGCATAACCACAGTAAAACAGCTGCCCCGGAAAATTTTGTTGATAAACTAAAGGACAGAAGAAAAGAAAGGAATTCAAATTAGGAAACTGGAGTTAGGTTCACCGTTCATACCCCGTTTACTAATTAGAATTATGAAACCAGAATATGTTTAATGCACTGACATGCTATTTTAGTTTTATAGCATTACTCTACTAGATGATAAGCCGTATTTATCAAGGGGGTATTTATTGAGTGTCTGTTCAGAGTGCCTATACAGACTAGTGACAGAAGAACTTTAAGCAAGCTTACTCAAAACTCAAACGAGGGGTTTTCATTTTTGGTTCGTGGTGGACTTGAATGGCAGTAGCCACGGTTAAGTGTCAATAACAACCTTGTTCTTCACTTCCTAAATACCACTCCCACTGCAGAAGGTGAAGCCTCACTGGATCCGTGACAAGAGTGGAAGGGGTCAGGAGAAGTGAGGAAATCAGTCTTGCATCTCATTTGGGTGAAACTAGTCTCACGTATGGATCTTCTCAAGGTGGGCATATAGAGAATATACTTTGGTCACTTACTGCTTTACTTTTTAACTTTAAAAAATTTCTCTAAGAAACTTCCATATTCAAGGATATGAATAAATGAATATGTGGGGAGAGGCGAGGGGTAGGGGAGTGTGAGAAATGGGAAAGGCAGAGTATGCAAAACATCTTTGATGTTTGGCTCATAGGTCATTCCATTTCTAAATAAAACACATGTACACATCCTTTAACAGGTGCTAGTCTAAATCCTGGAGATACAAAGATGAAGGAAACAAGGATGCAGGAACACCATGGTTATTGAGTGGTTCATGGTCCACTGGTGGAATAAACATGAGAAGAAATAAAAATGACACAGTGGTAAGTTATGTTGTGGTGGACACCCACCAGGCTGCCTGCTTACACTGATCTCTTTTCTTTTGAAAGTGCAGTAGTAGCAGTTGCTGGGAGTCAAGAGAGAGGAGAAGCAAATATGTGTAGTTCAGGAAGAGGAAAGATACAATTAAAGGAGTAAGGATGTGAAAAAGCAAGATACATTCTGGAGACCAAAAGTGTGATGTTGAGATAGGTAGGAATATTTTAGTTTGGTAATTTCATTATGTAAGTGTCTCATTTAAGGACGGCTACAGATTGGTAAAAAGAGACTCCTTGCCTCAACTGTGTGTATGTGCACACATTCAGATTAAATTCATTCCTTATTTAGTCAGGAAAGCAAATTTAGGGGAACCAAGGTGGCTACATAAAGCAGGAGCAGAAGCAGTGTATTTCAGTGTAGCTTTTCTTGGCTCTTCCAAGTTTCTCAAGATAACATGTACAGGCACTAGATTATTTGCTAAAGATGCTCTTGTTTAATGTTAGAAAATTTATGTTATCATTTGTAAAGGTCATACAAATAATCTATGACTTGATATGAAATATTTATAGAAAAGTTTCTAGTTCTTGACACTGATAGAAGAAATTTCAAGAAGGCTTCATCTTCATGTGAGGGGAAGGATAAAATGTGTTTCAAGGACAGCAAATACCAAATAAGAGTCTAGGAGTCTGTTACAATATATCCAACTTTGTTTTTCAGCAATTTTTTATGACTCCTTTCTTTTCTATAATAGGACTTATTTCCAGAGTAATTTTACTTTCACAGCAAAAGCGAGAGGAAGGTACAGAAATTTTTCATAAATACAAGCATCATTGAAAGATATGGTAAATGTTTAAATTTAAAAATTACTGTGGTAAAAGACACACTGCCATTAATTCCCCTCGAAATTCTCCCCCTTGCTCTGAATACTCTTATCCCATAATTTTGACACTTTCTGAAGCAGTTCTGGAAGTCCTCTTTCATGAATATCTTTTGTTGCACTGTTGTGACTCCTTTGATGCCCTAATTGATTACCAATATTTGCCTTTCATTGTCAGTTTTGACTTTGTGGAAGACCTATTTGCACAATGCTAGATCTAGTGAATAAGCTAGGTAAAGACACACCATAAGGTTTCCATGAGCCTGTCTTCTCTTGAATGGCTCTCAGCATCAGCATTCGTGTATTTTCTATTACACCTCATGCAGGTATACAGAAAAAAGAACTGTTTCAGAAAGTGACGGTGATGAGATAGGTGTGTTCGGAGAAGGAGGGAGGATTTTCTTTTCTTTTTTTTCTTTTTATTGAGTTTATTGGTACAATACAGTTACATTCATCATTGGGATTCTGTACCTTTACATAATAGGTCTTGATTCTCATCTTTTTCCCTGTGTCCCTGCCCTCCCTTCACCCCCTCCTCCCCTCCCCATTTACAAACACTTTATTTCCATTTTTTCAGTTTCTCATATTTTTTTTCTCTCAGAAGGGAGGATTTTGAGGGGGATTAATAGCAATGTATTTTTTACTGTGATAGTTTTTTAAAATTTTAATCATTAACCATATATTTTGATCACCCCTTGTACCTACTGCTACACATACATAGCCTCCCTTCATCATCAGCATCCCCCACCAGAATGGTACATTTGTTATAACTAATAAACCTGGTTGGCACATCATATTGCTCAAACTCCATAGTTTACATTGAGTTCACCTTTGACGTTGTACATTTTATTATTTTGGACAAATGTTTAATGATATTATAGTGTCACCATTGTAGTATCCTCTGTGCTCTGTCTGTTCTTCCTCCCTTCCCAGAACACCTGTCAATCATTAAATGTTTACTGTCTCCATTGATTTTCCTTTTCCAAAATAGTATATAGTTAGAACCATATAGTATATAGCCCTTTCAGGCTGGCTTCTTTCATTTAGTAGCATGCAGTTAAGTTTCTTTTATGTCTTTTTGTGGCCTGATTTAATTTTAGCACTGAATATTATTCTGTTATCTGGATATAACATAGCTAATTTATCCATTCAGTTAGAACATTCTAATTACCTCTAAGTTTTGGAACTTATGAATAAAACTGCTATAACATATTCGTGCAGGGTTTTGTATGAACTTAAGTTTTTGACTTCTTTGGATCAGTACTGAGGAGTGTGATTACTAGGTCAAATTACAAGAGTATTTGTAAAAAAGCATCAGATTATCTTAAATGGTGGCTGCACCATTTTCTATTCTTGTCGACAGTGAGTGAAACTTTCTGTTGCTTCACATTATCACCATCATTTGTTGTTGTCAAGGTTTTGGATTTTTGCCATTTTAATAGGTATACCGTGGTGCCTCATTGTTTTAATTTCACTTCCCTGAAGACCTGTGATGTGGAACATCTTTTTATACGCTGGTCATCAGTACAGTGGTACCTCCCTTCCTCGGCTTGCTTCTTTCCACTGTTCTGGTCACAAACTGAATTGGACAAAAACAAATCAAATTCAATGGTTAGGTTCAACATTGACCTTATGGGGAAATTTGATTCAATTCTTGTCCAGTTTGGTTTGTGACCAGAATCATGAAGAGAATTGAGTTTGTGAACTGAGATACCACTGTACATCTTTTTTGATGTGGTATCTGTTTTAGGTCTTTGGCCCATTTTTAAATGGTTGGTTTGTTTTATTATTGTTCAGTTTGAAGGGTTCTTTGAATATGCTTTTTGTAAATATTTTCTAGCCTGTGACTTGCCTTTTTATTTTAGTGGTATTTTTTGTGGAGTAGAAAAATTTTAATTTTAATGATGTCTACTTTTTCAATTCCCTTTTTCAGGATCATGCCTTTGGTATTGTATCTGAAATATCATTACTATCATCTAGATTTTTTTCTGTTACATACTTGGAGTTTTATAATTTTTCACTTTACATTTATATTGGAAGGTGATCAATCCTCCTACTGCCTAGAAAGTGGGATGGCGAGGGCTAAAGAAAGACAGACAGTAAAGCCATGAATAATTTCAAAGCACATGGGGGGCTGGGAGGTCAGTGCCTCAGAGTGGGCAAAGACAAAAAGACACTCCTAGCTAGCCATTATTTATTGGGTACACACAGTAATTGGAGGGAGCATAAGGTGACTTAGGGGGATGTGTTAGTCCTGTGTTGGTGAGGATTTTATGTTGATAAGGGCAATAAAGGGGACATTCTTACAATAATAAGTGGGCTGAGATAGCAGGCTAATAAAGAATTTACCTTTCTCCTAGGTGAAACCTTTCCCTTTTTTAAATTACCACTTGATTCTCAAAGAACCAGGATGTCTTCAGCTGATGTACTGTTGCCCTTGAGCATCACATTATCATGGGACTATTGAGTCCTCAACTTGTGACCTGAGGCAAAACAGAGTTATGTTTCTGCCTGTCATGGCAGGTGCCCAGGCATGGTGACCTTGGGCCTTAGACAGCTGTAGTCATACTTTAATTATGAAATGATTTTTCCCCCAAAGTTATATAAAATGGCTCTTGATACATTTAGATTCAGAAATCATTTTAAATTAATTTTGTGCAGGGTGTGAGGCCCATGTATAGGTTAATTTGTGTGTGTGTGTGTGTGTGTGTGTGTGTGTGTGTGTGTGTGTATCCCATTGTTTCAGCACCATTTATTGAAAAATTTATCTTTTCACTACTGTACTACCTTCATCCCTTGGTCATAGATCATTTGCTTGTATTTATGTGGGTCTGTTATTGGGCTTTTAATTCTGGGCATTGGTCTGTCTGTTTGTATTCCTTAGTACATGTTTGCAGTACATAATGTTTACATTCCTTGTGTAGAGTTGGTACTAAATGTATATAACACATCTTAATTCCTTTTTTATCCTTATTCTCTTTCCTTCCCTCCATCTCTTGATCCCCTTCCCATTTGAGAAAGATCTATCTCCCTACTTCTCATTACTTATCTTTTATTTTGCCCTCTATCTATAATTTCTTTCTCTTACGAAAGAAACCATATGATAGTTAAGCTTGTATCTGATTTATTTCACTTATTAGTATAGTCTCAAAATGCATCCATTTTTCAACAAATGACTTATCTTTCCTTATCGCAGAATAGAAATAGTACAAATGGCCAGTAAGTACATGAAGAAATGCTCAACATCTATGACCATTAAGAAATGTAAATTAAAACAATAGGGAGGCTCCATTTTACCCCAGAAGAATGGCCATCGTCAAGAAATCAAATAAAAATGCTGGCAGGGCTTCTGGCATGGGTATGTGGGGTACCCCTCTACATTATTGTTGGGAATGTAAATTAGTTCCACTATTATGGAAATCTGTGGAGATTCCTCAACAAACTAAAACTAGACATTCCATTTGATGCAGCCCCATCTAGGTATCTTCTTGAGAGTTAGAGACATCATATTATAGTGATACACACATACCCATATTTATAGCAGCACAATTCATAATAGCTAAATCTTAAAAATAGCTTATATGTCCATCAACAGATGAATGTCTGTTCTGTCACTAATACCACACTATCTTGATTGCTCCACCTTTATAGTAAATACTGAAGTTGGGTGGTTTCAGTCCTCTTAATTTATTCTTCTCCAAAGCCTCTCTTCACCTTTTATTTTTTCCTGTAGTTACTTTAACCTGTAGGTTAAAAAGGTCCCTGTAGTTACTTAAACCAGCTTAAGAAAATGTGTGTTTGGAATTAAGAATTTCACTAACGTGTTAAGAAGCCACCAGCTTCTGGCCTTTCTACTCTGCCATTTTAAATATGAATAAATAAATATGGAGAGGTCAATAGATGTTGTGATGTTCAAACACTAACTTCAGAATCCATGTATATATAGTCTTTCTACCATATAATACAGTTTACAACACTAGCTGAAACTATTACTCTTAAGTTGTCATTTTAAGATATATATATATATATATATGTATGGAATTTATTTTTAAAGTACTGTGATAGTTTTACTTGTCAACTATACTGGGTTAGGGGGTGCCCAGATAGCAGGATAAACATTATTTTTGG